TTATTCACTATGTAAGAATTTGTTCACCATGTAAGAACTTGTTCGTTATGCTTCAGAAGATTGGAGACTGTTGAGAATTAGGCTTGGGGTTGATTAATGATTGTGCATTGAGTCCCCTATACAGAATTTTATTGTTGTTAACAACCATTTGATCAATAAATATGAGAGGCCCTCTCAAAAAAAAAATGAGGAGTCTGGGGATACCATCTGCTTCTAATATCTCTGATCATGAAGGATCCTCTTCTAAACTCCTGCTAACACAGGTCTGCACAGGGGAGTTAGCCTTGAATAACCAAAACCTCCTCATGTGCCAAGAATGAAAAGTTGAGCTTGAGGAAAGGAAAGATTATTTACTTATTCATATTTTTAACTTCTCCCAAGACCTACCTACCTACTGATGCTTTATTAAATGAGAAAATGCACATAAAATGGTTAGTACATAGATGGTATATGTGGTACAAATGACATCACATGATGATAGTAGAGATATTACCATTACGATAAAGAGGTGAGGAGGGTTGCCCTTTTCCTTTGTCAGGACGTTCAAAATAAAAAGTATTATTTCTTCCATAAAATGGATTGTGGCTATTAAGTAATGAGGCTCACTTAAAAATATATTAAAATATATAGGAAGAGGACTGCCCTATCAGACAATAAACTTAAAAGACTTACAATTAAAACAGTGTGGGTAAAGAGCACAATAATTTGCAATCACAATATAAGTTCCCACGTGGTAACTAGTACAGCATGGAGAACATCAGTGATTCTTTAACATCTTACTGCGTTAATCAATAGTGACCTCACTAGAGGGGGTGAAGATCTAATAATATGGGTAACTGTTGAACCACTGTGTTGTATATTTGAAACCAACATAAGATTGTATATCAATGATACTTTAATTAAAAAAAAGAAAACAGTGTGGGACTGGTGCATGAATAGAGAAAGAGACCAGGGGAGCAGAACAGACAACCCATAAATAGATTCAACAGCATAAGAAAATTTAGTATATAATAAAGGGGACATCTTTTGTCATTGGGGCAAGGATGGGATTTTTTAAAAAACTGTTCTGGACCAACTAGGTAGCCATTTAGAAAAAGGTAAAATTAGATCTATACTTCACATTATACATAAGTAGAAACTCTAAATGGATCAAGAATCTAAATGTATAATATGAAACTATACAGCTATTGGAAGAAAACATGAGTGAACTCTTTAAACCTCAGTGTAGGGAAAGGTTTTCTAACTATGACTCGAAATCTAAGGTCAGTAAGAGAATAAATTTGATTACATAAGAAAACCGTATGCAAAAATACCATAAACAAAATCAAACGACAATTGACAAACTAGGAGAAAATATTTGCAATATACATCACAGATAAAAGCCTAATATTCCTAATACATAAAGAACTCTTAAAAATTGAGGGACAATTCATTTGTGGAGTATAACAATGAAGCAAAACTGAAGGAACAAAATAGCAGCAGACTCAGACTCCAAGAAGGGACTAGGGGTTACCAAAGGGAAGGTGTTGGGGAGGGAGGGTGGGGAGGGAGTGAGAAGGAAATTGAGGGGTATTATGATTAGTTCACATGGTGTGGGTGGGTGGTCATGGAGAAGACAGTATAGCACAGAGAAGACAAGTAGTGACTCTGTGGCATCTTACTACACTGATGGACAGTGACTGCAATGGAGCATGGGGTGGGGGGACTCGATAATTATGGGGGAATGTAGCAACCACCTTGTTTTCCTTGTGTAACCTTCATAAGAGTGTATATCAATGATACCTTAATAAAAAAAATTGAGGGACAAACTCAACTGAAAAATGGAAAGAATACAAGAAAGACAAAAATATCTGTTTAAAATTCAAACTAACTCATAAATAGAAAGATCACTTAAAGAAACTCTTTACAGCCAAATCTAGAACAATTGAGTAATAAAATAATGATAGGAATGGATTATAACCCATAGAATAAAACAAGCATCCATGAGCCCATACTGATAAAATAAATAAATTGAATGAATGAATAATGGGAGAAGAGGCAAAGCTTTTCCTTAGAGTAGAATTCCAATTAATAAATGTAGAAGGAATGATGGAAATAGAAAACCACTATGTGGCAAATACTTGGTAATAACTGTTACAGGCAAAAGTATTTTGAGAAGCAGCATATTTAGGTAGTCTCAGAGAATCTCCCCCACAAGATACTTTTTTCATTACAAAGAGAAAGTAATTTTACAGTTGAACAATCTAGCAAATACCACTTTATAAACAGTGATTGAGGTTAATATCGAGAGTAATGAGACATATTGACATCATGTACCTTTGTATACGATAAATTGAGAAGAATACATCACTTCTATGATGTTCTCGCCCAAATACATAACCTGATTTTAATCAGTAGAAATATCAGACAAACCCAAATTGAGGTATATCTACAAAACAGTGGCCAGTACTATTCAAAAGTTTCAAGGTCATAAAAGACAAAGATTGAAGAAGAAAGACAGTCTGAGGAACTATCCAGATTAAAGGGAGACAATTAAATGCAATGGATTGGATCCTAGCCCAGAGAAGGGATATTAGTGGGACAATTGATGAAATCTGAACAAAGTCTGCAGAGTTAACAGTGTGTCAATTTCCTGATTTTGATGATTATACTGTAATTATATAAGACCTTAACACTTGGAGAAACTGGGTAAAGAGAATTAATTCTTTGTACTATTTTTACAACATTTTTAAAATAAGCCCTAAATGATTTCAAAATGAAGAGAAAAAATAGAACTTGTGCATTCAAATAATTACTGTCTTTCAAAGTACTGTCCTTGAAATGGTATTTATTGTAAAGTTATGACAGTTTCTGATATTTTATTTTGAAAATGTTTTCAATATTAGCAAGAAAAAGAATTTCTTGCAATATTTTTAAAAATTAATTTATGGGAAATTTCAAACACACAAAATTAAAATAACCCTTATGTTCTCATTTGTACCCATTACCCAATTTTAACAATCAGTATTCTCCCCACGTTTCCATCTATTTATTTAGGGTTTTTTTTTTCTGAAATAATTGAAAGCAAATCCCAGAATGCCATTTCATTTTTTTCTTGAAACATATCCACCACATCATTATCACACCTAATAAAATTAATTCTTAAATTTTGTCAAATTCCAAGTCCTTATTTAAATTTTGCTGTCTCAAAACGGTTATTTGAAATCAAGATTATGAGGTATATACTTATGCTTTTTAAAACTTTTTTAGTCAGTAATAGTCCACCCTCCCTACCCCTGTTTTTAAATTTACATAATCTGTTGGGATAATTGGGTTCTTTGTCCTATGGAAGCTGATTACCTCCTCTTTGAGGTTTAAAAACATTTTTAAGCATGTTTTTCTATTCCCTGTATTTCCTGTAACCATTGGTTACATCTAAGGCTTAATTAGATTTGAGTTGAATTTGGGGTGATCACCAATACATCATATAAGGCACTGTGTAGTTAGTATTGCATCACCATCACATCTAGAGATATATAATGTCTATCTCACTTTTAAATGGTGCTGAGATTGACTGGGAGGTTCAAATAGTATCAACCTAAATCCCTCATTATAAAGTTCTACATCTTCTTTCAAAGGTAGATACTATATAGGTTTACCTCTGTCAATAGAAGTCACAGTCAAATCTTGAAATCTTGCCCAAGGGTAGCAATCTTCAAAAAACTGTTCAATTAACTTCCCTAACACAGAGCTGTGGTTGAAGGTCCATGTCAACCCTCTTATCATTAAGTATTACAGGAAAAATAATTATGAGGAAACTAATTTTAGAAACTGCAAAGTACAAATAAAGGTCAAAGTCACCTTAGAAGTTATTACCATGATTGGGAATCAAATGGATACATTAAGAGGTCTTGGCTACGAAGCTGTAAGTATCTAAGTCAAAAGAGTAGTATGGAGCTAAGTATTATAAAAAAATTAAATTGACACAATTGTCTCTGGGAGGACGGAAAGGAGGTAGGGAGGAGTGAGGTAAGGGGCTGTGACTTTTCATTACAACCCCTTTGTGCATGTATTACTTCGATAGCATTACAAAGGGAAAATATTAAAAAGCAATAGACTGCTAACACCATGCAAAAATAACAGCCTATTAATCATACAGGTGCTTCCAATTTTTTCTGTTCCATCAGAATCCAACTGGAAAATACTTAAGGGGACAAAGTCAATAAAAGCTCATCTGGTGACTTAAAATCTTCAAAAGGGCGGACACATTAGGAAGGAGTCCGCAGATTAGAGGTCGGGGATAAGGATTCAGTTCCTTCGCCTGATAGCTGGTCACAGGCCACCTGCGCGGCGAGGCCCTGACGGCCGCAACGCCTCGCGGAGGCGGGGCCTCGCGGCGACACAGCGACGCCCGCCCCTTACGTCGGGCGCTAGGGAAGCCAGAGGGTTTCTGGGGGCGCTGGCGCCATTTTGCCGGAGCCTGCGACCGAGTGGGAGTGGTTTGGAGCGGCCCTTGTTGCCGACTCTTTCCTCCTCCCCACGGTCCAGTCAGCGGGTTGATTAGGCCATCGGCTCTCAAGCCGATACTTGTCTCTTACTTAGTTCTGGGGAGCGCCTGGCCGACATGAGTGATATAGAGGAGAACAACTTCGAGGGCAGAGTGAGTACAAAGCCGCGGGAGCCGTCTTCGGCGGCCGCCCGATGCTCGGGATTTCACGGGGCCAGCGCGGTTGCGTGGGGTTGTGGGGTCCCGCGCGGAGCAGCCTCTGGAGCCATCGCGGTTGCTTCCTCACATCCCAAGATGGCCTCTGGGTTCCACTCCTTCCCCAAACACCACGGATAACCTCCCTCCCCCTTTTTTTGGAGACTGACTGATACCTGGACTCCTGGGTCCGTTTTCCCCGCGCAGTGCGCCCTCCTTCCCCCGCCCCCGAGGCTTCCTTTTCTCTGTTCCGAGGTGTGGGTCCCTGTCGCGGTGGGGCGGGAGGATACGGCCGGGAGTTCCCCTCCGGCCCGATAGTGGTCGGTGCTTCCTGCGGTGGCATTTCAGGCGACCCCGAGCATCGTAGAGGGTCTCGGGGTCGAAACTGCGCGGGGCTGCTGTCCGGGCGGGGAGAAGCTGGCGTGGGACTAGCTGGGGCCTGTGTCTCCTTGGCTCTCTATTGCAGTGAGCGGCCGCGTCTCTGTTGGAACCGGCGGCGTTGCGTCTATAAAGGCGAAAGCCTTGAGGTTGAAGGTGGGACGAGCCTAATGAAGTGGTTAGTCAACGACCGCACCGACCCTTAAGCGTTCTTAAGACGGGAGCTGTGAGGGGAAAACTACGCAAGGAGCCCTTTTCCCTTAATGTCCCTTCTGCTTTCCTTTCACTTCAAAATGATGTGGAAATGCTATAACGCCTTATTTTTCTAATTCCTTGATGTTGGGGATTTTTTTCTCTTTATATATCACCTTATAATGCTTTTCTTCCGATGACCTTTGATCTAAAATTTGACAGCTCCTTTACAGGTTTTTACGGTAAAAACAAACAGGGAATCTTCTGTCTTAATCTTACATAACTGAACAAATTTCATGGCTCACTATTTTAATAGCTAGTCAGTTTATACTATTCTCTGATTCAAAACGTCACTGGAAAACCAGAAGCCCTCTCCCATTTTTTCTTCCCAACCCATCCCCTTGCAAAGAGGACTCAGAGGTTTTCGTTATTTTGACTCGGTGAATATAAACTTCACAAAGATACGTTACCATCAGCTTAAATATGATAGAACGTTTAGCAGTGTTGGAGTTATATTTCCGAAGTTACCCTCGTAGTGAAAATTTGTGGAAGTGAGTTAGTGTGAACCCATGAGAAGAAAAAATCCCCAGACAGCATGTTTCCACTGTTTGTGTTGGTATTCTCTGTCACTAGGGGAAACAACACTTAAGGTGTGTGCTGGATGAAATTAATTTTGTCATTTTAGAAGCTCATAAAGTAACACCTAGAGCCTGACAGGTAAATCAGAAGGTCGAGTTAGGCTTTCGTTCTTTTTCAGGAAATAGATTTAAATAGGCTAGAAAAAACTATACTTATCCCTTTAAGGTTGGGTTTTTAAATAAGACCTGGAACAGAGATGCATAGTTGAACCTGCTTGTTTTTTAGGATGGAGTATTGATTGCTTCAACAACTCTTTTAAGTCATGTAATAAAAATATTTGATGTTAGTTGTAAGCTGCTTGTTTTGAAAATGTTAGGTACTCTGGAAAGGAATTTGCTGTCCATTAATCTTTCCTTTGATTAATGCTAATACAAAAAAAATTTTTTTTGATTTAGTTTATGGGGAAGTGAATAGGGCTGTTATTTGGGACCTTTTTTCTTTTAAGTTATTATTTTGATTAGTGATCAAGTCGAGGAATGGAGCAAATTCTAATGTCATCTTACCCACCTAAAAAAGTAATACATATGTAACTCCCGCACTGTTAATTTAAGCTGAAATAAATGTAGGCATTACGATTTATTTTAATAGCAAAAAGTTTTATTTTACCTTTTTCCACATAATAGATAATTAAGTGATCATAGATCATACTTTTTCACATGTGATACCCAAGTATACTGTAGTGTGAATGAACTCTGTAGATCTAATGATGAGGTACATCCACACTCACCTGTTAGTTTTTTTTTTATTGAAGTAATTGTCTTTATTCATAATTGGTTAAAAAATTAGAATGCCAGAAGCATTTCTGAAGATGTACTTTTTCTTTTTTTAATTGTTCTTAAAGCAATTTAATATTTACTACTGCTTTAAGTTTTTAAACTACAGTAATCTTTTGTCTGCTAACCGCAAACCAGCAGTTTAAACATTTTATAGATATAAAATTATTATCTTTGTATCTAAATGTAATAACCAGTTTGGCCCAAAAAAGTATTTTCTAATGGTGTTTTTGTTTTAAGGAATTCAAACTTGACTAAAACAAGTTAGAGAAAACATGGACAGGTCCAAAGTCATATTTCATTTGCTTTATCTATGAAATAAACAGAGCACATATTAACCCACCTTACTGAACAGATAGAATTAGAGGGTAACTTTCTAGAGACCCTGAATACATTGAAGGAATGAAACCAATACTAAGAGTTTCTACTTTCATAGTATCTTAGCATCTATAAAAACTTTACCCAAATCTTTGACATATTTTCTGATTTACTGCTCGCAATAATTTTGTGAGACCGAGAGTACTCTTACCATTTCAGAAATTAAAAACTGTGACAATGCAGCCAGGAATCTAAGGTTTACAAGTCCCAGTCCATTGCTCATTGCATTACATGCACTATGCTATATCTATATATATATAGATAGATACACACACACACACACACACATATACATATACATGTATCTATACACACACACTATGTGTGTGTGTTTGGTTTGTTTGTGGCCGTTTTTTTTTTCATTTTTTAAAAAGAGCACACTGTACTTCAGTGTCTCAGAGCCATTAATGGAGTTTGCTAGAAACAGGAGCCAAGTTTCCATTATAGACTCCTGTCTCTTCCATTTTAAAGGATCTGGAGTAAAAGAACTTGTGGAAAGAAAATATAATTGGCTGAGTTTTGTTACCAGTAATCCTAATAGTTAACCAACCAAAGTTCCCTTCTGCCTGAGGTGAAACTGTTGAGCATCTGCTGCCCTTTTAGTAAAGGCCAGGTGTTCTTGAGGGAAAAGAACTTGGAGTCTAATTTGAGATGACCGACAGCTCAGATCTGGGTAAAAGTAAGTATATAATCAAGTTCTGTGTGGTAGAATTAGCAAGGAATTCAGAAAATGGAGCTGAACAGTTGTGTTTGCTAGGAAAGGGAAAGCTTTACCTAGTGTGTAAAATTTATAGTGGGTCTCACTAGGGAAGTGAATATTGATTATATGGGTATGGCAGTGAGAAGGTTGCTGGACTAGGGAGATGATAGATTTCATTAAATAATGCAATCAGATGATGCAGAGTTTTGAATTCTCGATTTAGGAATTTGGACTTAATCCAATATGCAGTAAGAAGCCACTATGGATTCTTAATTCTGAATGTGCATAATGAAAGAAAATAGACTGGTACAGGAAGAGCAGCAGAGCACACTTGAAATATTTAAGGAAGGAAATTATGAAAAATCTGGTGTATTAACAGGACAGCAGTGCGATGTAAAGAATGAGTGAAACATTTTCAAGGGGTCTGGTAGAATACTGGTGCCATTAAAGTAAGTAAGTTCCATTATAGCAGGTTGCTTGGGACATACATGTGTATCAAGTTAACAAATGTTTTTTTAAGTGGAAATGTCTTCAGGACTTGGGAGTGAGGTTGGCATTTGATCTGTGACTACATGGCATCTTCACAAAAAGAATGAACTATTTGCTTATATCACTTGAACTAAAACGGGGGTTTTGATCTCAAAAATTTTAGTGTTCTTTATAGAAATTCAGAATGGAAATTAAGCTTTTACCATTTTACTTATTCCTCCTCTTCCCCCTTTTCTATTTTAAGCAAAACTTAGAGTCCAGTTTTTTCCTCATAAAATGGCCCAATGTCTTTAAATAGAGGTTAATGATTCTTTAGTAGGGTTCCATTTTATAATTCCACAATGGTCTGTGCTTTGTGGCACAGGTAAAAAGGAAAAATGCTACTTACTCTTGCCTTGTTTTCAGAGCTTGTTCTAGCTTCTTAAGTAGCTGGAATATTTTTGAGGTACTCCTAGTCCCCTTTCTAAATATATGAGATGATTGAATGATAAAAATGAAGAATAAAACACAAATTCATCTATACCAAGCTGATAAAATTTGTGTATGTTATTTTATTTTGTTAAAGAAGTGTAGAAATGGGAAGGTTTTTTCTCTTTGAAACCTGATTTGTAATGATGGGGTGGTAACTATGCCTTTCAAAAGACAGCTTGGTGACAGGCTTCTTTAAAAAATAAAAGAAATCCTTAAACTGGGCTTTAAATTTTTCAATTGATGAAATTTTAAAGTAGTGAATGTGACAGTACTGGCAAGGTTTGCCCTCTCCCCTCTTCTTTTTTTTAAGAATGCAAATTTATTCAATAATTAACTTGAATCTCTATTTTACGGATTAGAAAGTCATCACTTTAGTTTTTTAAAAAACTTAGTTTGGTTTTAGCAGTTTAATTTCATAAATCTCACCTCATAAACTTGTTGCAAACGGCTTTCTTTCTTATAGTAGGGATGGTATTGGGCTTATTTTCCTAAAGTATATCATTCATCCAATTTTAGTGCTTATTTAATTCATCCATCAAAGAATTTGTAAACTTAAGGAAATATCTTAATGCTCAGATTTTTATATTTGAGATTTCTCTCACTGACGAATGCTGTTGGCTCAATGTAAGTAGAAAGTGGAATTTTAAAAAGGAGCAGTGCAACTGATTGCACCCACAGTGCATAACTGTAATTTGTCTTAAATGCTTTGATTTTTACCATTCCTAATAAGAAAATAAGGAGTAATGGGATCCAACAGAATATATGGGATTTAAATATATAAGAATGAGAGTCATTTTAAAAATAAAAATAAACTTTTTTAATGGACTTAATTTTGTAAATGAAATTATCTGTGGTACATAACACATAAAAGTGTGGCATGACCATGAGTAATCAGCATAATAGTTTCCTAGAACTTGCCTGACGGTGTGGAAAAACCTTTGATTCTATCAGTGAATGCTCAGGCATCGAATAACTAACCCTGGGACTTTTATAAAAGGTATATATTTACATGCTAAGTTAATTAATACAGATTGTTATTTGTTCACATGTCCTAATAGATTTAGCAGGACAGAAGTGGAAATGAGAAAATGGTAACCGATCAGATGGGCAGGAGTGGGGGGGATCAGTAAACACTGTTAAAAAAAAAAATGTTGAGGGGAATAAGGAAAGGAAACGTGGCTTCACCTCCCTTCTTTAAGTTATTGCCATATATAGCTATGTATAATCCTTGTCGTCATGGTTTTCACCAGGGTTTGAGTGACTAGGCCTGACCCATGCTGAGTCAGGAGAAAAGTTATGGTTTTTCCTTTAAATTAAGGCTGTGTGGTCTTATATTCAAGATTCATAAATATTCCATGACATCAGAAAATGAATAGAAATTGAGAATTCTGTAATATGTTGTTCGTACCTTGTTTTTGATACAGCTAAACCACTTTAGTCTTTATAAGCTTGTTTTCTATACCTTTGAAATTGCCACTTAGACACTGGCTTTTTGGACATTCCAACTGATTATATTGTGTAAGTTGGCTGGTTTATGAGCCATGTTTAAAATTTATATAGAAGATTATAGCAAGTAGTTTCACAGCTGTGCCATGAGTTTAAATTTGATTATATATGTATTAAGTGCCAATTCCTAAGAAATTTATTTGTTAAACATTACCAAAATTATTCCAAACTTTAGAGACTATACAGACACAGTGTGTGCCTGTGAACTTTGCAGATAAAAAGACCACTTCAACCTTATCAGAATGCAGCATGACCTCAAAAGAAGGGAAATTATTTAAAAATAGCTAGTGTTTGTAGCAATTGTTATTTTCCTTTAAGGAATTGCGTAATAACAGTTACGGGTTGAGACAGGAAGATTTCTTTTATAAGCCTAAGAATCTATAGAAGCAGCAGCCTATTATACTCAAGAGAAAGGAAGCAGAAATTTCTGTAGACTGAAATTAAAGAATTGAGTAAACACAGGTCTCCCACAAGTACTTAAGAAATGAAGCTCATAATACAATGAATATAAGTTATTTGGGTAATTTAAGGACTCGCCCATTTTTTTTGGACATGTAACCTAAATGTACTAGTGTTTTTCTGTGGAAATAGATCTTCAGTTACATAAGCTTGGTAGGAGAGTATATTTTGAGAGGTTTTTTTTAAAGTTTATACTATATTCATACAGACCTGAATTTGTGTAAATTTGGCATAGAATTTACCTTATCATAATACTAGAGTAGTTACAGCATAGCCATTTATATTGGTTTATGTGTTTAAGTACTAAACATATGTATAGTTGGAATTTTTTTTCTTCCACGTATAATACGATACTAGCTGTATTAAAAGAGTGCAGTTATTGCTTACTGTAGGAATTGTTCATGTTTGGCAACAATGTGTACATGTAATTAATAACCCTTTTTCCTGATTAGAAGAACAGTGCATGGTTGCTGTGGTTATTGACAGTATGTAATGTACAGCTGTTTTAACACAGAAAAGAGAGATGGTTATGCTATAGTGCTTTCTTAGTATTTATAGTTAGCTCCCTCCTTTTTGCATTTGGCTGTGTCCGTCAGCTACCACCAGAGCTACCTTGAAAAGAATAGTTAAAAGAACGACATCGTTTAAGCAGGTTATACTTTGAGAACTTTCTGTGGCTTCTTGCTTCTCCTTCAGGTGAGGCAGACTGGAAGCCTATTCGTGATGGGATTTGGTTGAGTCATCAATCTGCCCACTTCAACTAGGCAGCATAGTTTTTTAATGGTTGTTGGATCCAGATGCAAGTCACTAAGGAATTTGTGGAATTTCTTGACAGCTTTAAGAGCAGATTAAGTATAGCCTAGTCAAACAGAACAGATACCACCTCTCCTCAGTATCAGTTTTTCTGTTTGCAATTTCAATTCATTTTCCAAAGTCTGAATAGTTTTTCGAATTTCTTTGAAAAAAGTTGAAATTATTTCATATGACTACAAGTCAAAGGTAGAAAAGGATAATCTAGCATTTATCCATAAAGGGTTTATTGTAGCCTAGCTTCTAATGTATAGGTTAGTGAAAATGGCATTTATTTGATACCAGTTTTTGAGAAATAACGTACTTGAAAATGGTAAATATTACTTTTACTTTTTTGTGTGTAAAGACCTTTTATCAACTGCCAGTTCCTAAAATAACAGGCCATTTTTTGATATTACAGAAAAAAATTTTCTGAAGAATTAAAAATTTTATTCTTTGTAGTTTATTCTTTAGGTTAAGTTTACTGACATTAATTTACCTCTTTAGTAAGTCCCTAAATTGTTTTTTGGAATACTGTTTCTATGTATTCTATAGAATGATTCTATGAAGAAATTTATACAGATTTAGGTTTCCCTGATACAGAAATTGAAGGGTAGGCAACAAAGGTGGTTAGGTGCTTGTGACATCTTGGGTAATAAAAAGCAAGCCTTCTTTAAAAATATGTGGATGTCTTTTGAAAAGACATTGTCATATCTTAATGCTTTGTTAACAGACTAAAAGGAAAATTTCATTTTTTTCCAGTGAGCTGCTATGCCAGAACTTTGGATTTTAAATTTAACTTGTAAGACATGTTACTCAGTTACTGTATTTACATTAATTCTAAAAAGTGGTAATTTTCAGCCCTGCTGAATAATATTCAAATATGTTGATAAGGGAAGATTTGAGAATCAAATATACACATACATTTATTTGGACCATAAAATTGTTACTGTGTGCTTAACACAAACATTTAAGAGTAAATTTTGGGTTTTAAAAGATCTTTATTTCTATCCTAGTAAAATTAAAGGTTTTACAGTGTCAATGAGTGCAAAGCTTTCTGGTACAACAAGAGCTGTGGTGATGTTCATAGATACTATTCCATATACTGCTGTCTAACAGTAGCATAAATAAATGTTATACCAGAGGATTTGTTTTACCGAAGGCAAAACCAAAAGAAAGTGGGGAAGATATTCTTACCGGCTTAGTTAGTGAACCAGCCTGTGAGACTTGAACCACAAGCAAATTAGCCATACTTTTTTTTGTCGTTTAGTATATATGCTACTTTTACAGTTTCAGTGAATGAAAACACCTGAATGGCTCTGCCTGCTACCGGCATCTGTCCAGGAATTTAGAAAATATCTGAGATGTGGTGACTTCTATAGGTAGCTAAATGGGAAAGGCTGATACTGAACAGAAAGGTAGCTATATATTTCAGATTTGCTTTCATCTGAAAAAAAAAACACCTGGCAGCAGTAGTACAGTTCTTGGTAAAGTCTTTTGACATTAAAGTGAAGGGAAAGTTTTAAGAAAGTTGCATGATAGTCATGACATAAATGAAAATTGTGTGAAATTGGGATATTCACACTAATCATGAAGGCTTAAATGGAAACCAGACTCAACCCTACTTTGGTCATAATTGCCTCATATACTTTTCAGATTAAAAAACAGGCTTTTATAGTTATTTAGTTGATTTGATTTGGAAAGTTTTGATTTATATCCAACTTCTTCAGAAACCAGTCAGTTTTCTGGTATAGGATATAGTGACTGAAGGGAGTTACCAGCATGCACAACTGCATAAAATACTCCGAAGCTGTGAACAAAAGAGGTGGGATCAAAAGGAAAGACCATGATACTAATTTTATGACTTGTACATTCTCATACTTATTTCTTGGGTGATACAGATGTTTTAAATGGCAGTTGGAAAACCACATTAGGAATTTATAAGACAAAGGGGAAATTTTAAGAATTTCATACTTTCTTTTCCCCTTAGTTTTTTCATTAGGCTTGTTTTACTTCAGAGCATATCTTTTTGGTTAACTCAGAGTGAGCAAAGATAGTGGTCAAAAAAATTGGGACATATTAGTAATCGTACTAATTTTTCTACTTCTTTGAACCTCAGTATGTGTCCTGTAATGTGCACGTTTAGATAGGTGTGTACAAATATTTCAGCCTAGGATGCTTTGCTTTAACTATATCTTGATATCTTCGTATGGCTTAGTGAAAGCTTATTTTAAGATCATTAAGAATCTTCAGGTCATAAATCAGTGAAAACTTTTAAGGGGGGGTTACAAGTTAATTTTAGATTTATGCTTGAATTAAGTATATTAAAATTGTTCACATTTTAGGAGCTAGGAGGAAACATAAAGGGGAGGGAGGGTGAAGAGTATGGTAAAAATTTAGAGAAATTCAGTAACTTATCTTTATTAGAAAGTAGACTTTTGAACGATTTTAAAGATATAAAATTGTTTTTTTAAATAAACTAGTTATTTGCACTTTACCTGCTGGCTTTTCCATTTGGTAGATAACATTCTGAACTCCAGCAGAGTTTTATAATCCCCACGTGCTTAAATATACTAAATGTTCTTTTTCCATTAAGGTTAATGTTCGTGAAGAAATTGAAGAGTTTTTTCCAAGAATGTGGAAGATAAATCAAGATAAAAGAAGGCTAATGAAAAGTATTAAAGATCAGAAAATTAAAATTGAATGGGGGAAAAAATTGAACAGAAGATTGGTCAGATAGAAGCACTTGAATATTTTTTTAAGGCTATTTTGAATTGTTTGAATTGGGGAAGAATACACGAAGTATGAAAAATGAAAAACTCAATGAAGAATGAAGAGAAGTAGAAAGCAAGAGTGAAGTAGAATTAAAAGAATCTGGAAGAATGAATGGGTCCTAGGTTAAGTAAATGTATGGTTTATGTTCCAGTGTCTGTATGATCAAGTTGTAGATGAATTTGCATGATTACTTAGTTAAAAGAGAATTGGTGATCTGGTTCAAGTAGGGAATTATTGAGGACAGTTAGCAGTATTAACAATGGGTTATTAATGAGCTGAAATTTTTTTCTGGAGGGAATTGCCTAACCATTTGTTTTTCAGGAGCAATCAATATAAATAATTACGGTACTTAAATGTTAGGTGTTAGGCATCTACGTGACCAGTGCCATTTGTAATACTGTCTTCTTTGTTAGGAGTCTCGCTCTCAGTCAAAATCTCCAACGGGAACTCCTGCTCATGTAAAATCGGAGAGCAGGTCAGGATCTCGTAGTCCATCAAGGGTTTCCAAACACTCTGAATCCCATTCTCGATCAAGATCAAAATCCAGGTAAGTGTGTTTAAAATAATACTTTAAAAATGTTTTCCTTGCATTTTTCAATACCAAGTGATTTTTACCAAATCCCTTATTTCTGCTGCATTTTGTATAGAAATGTCAACAGACTCAAAATCATGAAATAGTTTTTCTCAAATTGTGGGGTTTAGAAGTGAATGGACTCAGGTAAGGTACAATCATATCCTATCCCACTTAATCAGATACTAGCTATTAATTCAAATTAAACATACACTGATTGATTTAAATATGCTTAACATTTGAGGATTATAGTTTGATTTTATTTCAACAGTATTTACACAACAAAAGTAATTTTCTCCCTTGGAGACTTGGCATTTAATTTAATTCAGGGAAGGTTGATGTGTTACATATTGTACTGATGATCACAGTGATTTGAGAAACTTTTTCAGGGTTCACATTGCAGCTATATCCTTTACCTCTGGTCAAATGCAATTTGGAGGGGAGGGTGGCGATCATTGGGTGATTCAAAGCCCTTCCCACTCTTTACCTCTACTGGTAACAAAAACACTCCAGTGAACCACTACAGGATTCATTGTTACCAGATGTCACAGGTGTACTGGGGTGGTGGTGGGGAAGTAAAAACAACCTGTACAGTTAATTTAATATGTCATGGTAATTTTTTGGTAAAAGACTAATTTATGTCTTTGAATAGAGTCTGCTTGCAAAGGGGCATGAAACAGAAGAATAAGTTTAAGTGCTGTACTTTTCTTGTGGACCACAGCTGTCTTTTTCTCTATTGTATCTAGGATTCAGACCAGTGTGTACTAACCATTCTAAGTCCAATGTACAGAATAGCACTGGATAGAATTTGGGTATAGAAACAGAAAAGAGCGTATTTTCATTTAGGATCCTCAGCCTAGAATTCTCTTCCCTCAGATATTCTCATATCACTTGATTCAGTTCTCTGTTCATATGTCACCTGAGAACATTAAATGGCATGCACACGTGCTTTATTCCCTTAATTTTTTTCATATACTTTTCACTCTCTGATTTACAGAGAAGATAAGCACTCCTGAAGGGTTTTTAATTCTCAGACTTTACACTCACTTTTCTTTTCATATACATTATTATTATTATTATTATCATTATTATTAAAGTGTCATTGATACACAATCTTAAGAAGGTTTCACATGAACAACATTGTGGTTTCAGCATTCACCTATATTATCAAGTCCTCACCCCACCATTGCAGTCACTGTCAGCATAGTAAGATGCTGTGGAGTCATTACTTGTCTTCTCCATGCACTCACTTATCATTACTATTTAAAAGTAACAATTGATATTTTAAATGAGAGGCTTTCTTGTAATGTTTGTTTATTTTTTAAGTTGAGGCTATGAGTGTTAAGGAAAACAGGAAATACCCTGTGTAGTATTCATGCAAAAAGTACAAGTTTTCTTTATACATAGGCTGTCCTATCCCCCAAATGATTGGTTTCTCTTAGGTAGTAGCCTTTTATTTTATTGTTTTCATTCTCACTTGGAAGCCTTTGTTTGCCTCCTTTCAATATGTGTATACTTTCAGCTTGATAGTTTAGATTTCACACAGTGTTGTCTTCGACCCTTTCCTATTCATTCTCATTGCTCTCTAAGTATCCTAATTCCTAGCAGATTCCACTCTGTAGTTCTCTAATGACATTTCCGTGGTTTCTTGACAAGGAACCTTTGCTCTTCGTATTCCTAGAACATTGCCCTGACCTACCTGGTAAAATCTGTTAAGTCCCTCAGTTTTATTGTTAGCCTTTATTTCAGTTTTCCCTCACTGGTTTTATCCCTTTAGCTGCATGCTCTTTTTAAACTTTGTGGCCCTTTGCATGAGTAACATTTATTGAATGCCATATAGAAGTTGTTTTGTATAACTGTGCTCACTACTGGTCTGGGTGTTTAGTTAAGGATGGGTTAATTGAACAGTAAATAAGAGATTGTTGCATTAATAGGCAAAGAAAAAGGACTATCTTAGAGCAAATGGAAATAATCAGAGATAAGAGATCAAGTAGAATCAGCAGTGGAGAGATGGGTGAGATTCTGTAGAAAGCTTGAAGAATTGAAGACTGTGAAGTTAGGTGGGCATTTATATTGAGGATTATAGTTTGATTTTATATTGTTGATGAATTTAGCAGTTGCTAGATTGCAGCGGACTAAGGAAAGATCAGAAAGTGAAGAGAGCATAGAACTACACTGAGAAGGTGATAAGAATCAAAGGATTTTTTTTGTTGTAGTGGTAGTTGGTGCTTTGTTTTATCATGGTAAAACACACATAACAAAATTTACAATTTTAACCATTTTAAAAGTTTACAATTCAAAGATGTTGAATATATTCCTATTGTGTAACCTTCACCATCCATAACTCACTTACCTTATAAAACTGAAACTCTACCCATCAAATGATAGTTCCCCATTCTTCCCTCCTCCCACCCCTGGCAGCCATCATTTTTCTTTGTTTGATTTTGACTAAAAGCAGACTGGCTTATTTCACTTAGCATAATGTCTTCAAGGTTCATCCATGTTGTGGAATATTGGAGTTTCTTTTCCAATAATAGTTGTTTTTTCTTTTTAAAAAAAGTAGGATCTAACATGCTTGTTACATGGTAAGATGAAAAGAGTGAACATAGAAGGGGATGGACCGAGAACAAGGAGATTGTAGTGATTAAATGAATAAGAGGAAGAACGCCCTTTCCACACAAAGGACAGAGAGCTGACAATAAGGGATATGAGTATAGATCTTTGTTGTTAACCATTTTGTTTCAGTATTTTTACCTAAATTTATTTCTCTCACAGGTCAAGGTCAAGGAGGCATTCTCACAGACGTTACACTCGATCCAGATCCCATTCTCACTCACATAGGAGACGATCTCGAAGTAGGTCATATACACCAGAATACCGGCGTCGAAGGAGCCGAAGTCATTCTCCAATGTCTAACCGGAGGAGACATACAGGCAGCAGGGTATGTATGTGGTTTTTTAAAGTTAATGAAAAGTTGTCTTTTCTGTGTGTTTAGTTATAGCATAATATCGTGCTCTTATGAGAGCTAGACCATTGTTTTAAAGTATTCCAGAAACATCATTGAATATATATTGTTTATATACATGTAAGTTGTATGTTTTCTTTGCTCCACTTTTGCATAGTTAAAAGAGGTGAAGTTTAGAAATAAATGATATGTTCCAAGAATTTAAATTAAAAACATAAACTGAGTTGAAAATATTCAAAGAAAGTTTTTTTTTGAGGGAGTGGCAGCAAGGAAATACCAAAACCTCTGTAGTAACAATAATAGCTATAAAGTTCTTCAATACATTTAATATTCTTTAACACCTCTGTGAGGCAAGTGACCATGTTATGGATAAGAAAACTGAGTCTTGGACAGGCAACATTGAGGTTGGTTGGTTGGTTGGTTGGTTTCTTGACTGTCAGGCTCCAGGTTTCAACCAGACTGCTTGACTTAACACTCCTGTGTTTAACTGCTATGTTGTGCTTCTTTATGATACTGAATCATTTAACATCAGTGGAGTCTATTATTATTTATTTTTTCAAATCTGTACATTTCTGTTTCAAATCTTTTTGGATTGTGGGAACATTAAAAGAATATACTTGTTAAAGAATGAAAATGGAGGTGAGTCTAATCAACGATTACAGAGTAAGTCATTAAGTACAGTTCTGTAAGGGGCATAAAACATTAACTAGAACTGTGGCATTAAACTAAGGATGAACTCAGGATACATTCTGAAAATAACTGGGCTAGAGATCTCTCTAGTATGGACATTTTTATTCAGGCAACAACCTGAAGTATATTTCAGAGAAGGCCTGAGTATACTGTGTACTGTAAAATATGGCTCATCTGGGTTTTTTTTCCTCTTAAATTTCCAAGTGACTTGAAAAATATGGTTGTTGTGTATTGGGTGAGGTATTCTAAACAAACTATTCCTAGGTGTTTTAATTTTGATTTTAGTTTGGAGCTTAAAATTAAATAACATCTTTATTCAACAGGCGAATCCAGATCCCAACACTTGTCTTGGAGTGTTTGGCCTCAGTTTGTACACAACAGAGAGGGATCTTCGTGAAGTATTTTCTCGATATGGACCATTGAGTGGTGTCAATGTGGTTTATGATCAGCGAACTGGACGATCCCGAGGATTTGCTTTTGTTTATTTTGAGAGAATAGATGACTCAAAAGAGGTAGTTTTGTTTTCATGATTATCAATTTGAGAATTTTGTGTGTGATTATACTGTTGAGTTACTACTGTTAAAAGTGATCTGGTCTTATAAAATGAGAAAAATATATTTGACCTAATGGAAAAAGTAAAGTGTGTGTTTGCTTTTGAATAATGCTTATGCACCAAGCAGATGATTAAATTGATATTTTAGAATTACTGCATGTTTAAACAGCAGCAGAATCACAGAACCCAAGAATGGACTAACAGTTACCAAAGGGAAAGGGACTGGGGAGGATGGGTGGGAAGGGAGAGATAAGGGCGGGGAAAAAGAAAGAGGGCATTACAATTAGCATGTATAGTGCGTGGGGAGCACGGTGAGGGCTGTGCAACACAGAGAAGACAAGTAGTGATTTTACAGCATCTTGCTACGCAGATGGACAGTGACTGTGAAGGGGTATGTGGGGGGGACTTGTTGAAGAGGGGAGCCTAGTAAACATAATGTTCTTCATGTAATTGTAGATTAATGATAGCAAAATTAAAAAATTACAGCATGTTTATTAAGTTTAATCTGTTTTAATTTTGTGTCTAATCAGCTCCCCTATGTGTAGATAGAGAACTTTGGTTTTCTATTCCCTTAATATTTATCTAGCCTTCAGTTATATTCTTGAGCAATAATACATGGAAGGAATTTCTACTCTTTCATTTTTGTTTAGTGCCATTCTTAATTTGCATAAGAGAATGTCCTGACCAACATGGATGATTTGAAGTAGTGCTATTGAAATGTATTAGGTATTGGATTACAAAGAAAGTAGTAGGCTTGCTTTCTGTATACTAAAAGTTAATAATGATTGAGTTAGAAAATTCAATTTTAAGGAATTTGAAGCTCATTGAGGTGTTTGTTTTTTTATTTAAAGTGTCACTGGTACAGTCTTATGAAGGTTTCACATGAACAACATTGTGGTTTCAACATTCACCCATATTATCAAGTCCTCACCACCACCCCCATTGCAGTCACTATCAGCATAGTAAGATGCTATAGAGTCATTACTTGTCTTCTCCGTGCTGTACTGCCTTCCCCGTGACCTATCTATATTGTGAGTGTGAATTATAATGCACCTTAATTGCCCTCTCCTTCCCCACCCGCCCTCCCCAACCCCTCCACTTTGGTAACCACTAGTCCCTTCTCAGAGTCTGTGAGTCTGCTGCTGTTTTATTCCTTCAGTTTTGCTTTGTATTTATACTCCACAAATGAGTGAAGTCATTGAAGCTCATTGAGGTTTTACCAAACCTTAATAAATGGCAAGTGCTAGCATTTTCTTTTAGTGCCATTTTACATGTGATTATAGTTAGATCTACATCATTATTGTTCCATGTATCAATAGTGTTTGTAACATAAGTAATCATAATAAAAGTTGATATATCTTAAAAAAAAAAATAGATGCTATTGACATCCAGTTTATGGAGAGTCCAGGGAAGATACTGAAATCCTGCAAAGCACAGGATAGCCATCCACAGTATAGAACTAGCAGTCCTAAAATCTCAATAATGCTGAGGTAAAAATCCCTGGATAATTCTCACAAAAAAACATTCTAGGTTGTAAGTCATTTACTTAATAGACATTCTAATTGGCATTCTTAATGTTTTCATTTGTTGTCATTGTGAATTTTTTTAACAAACATTTGTGATTTGTTTATTCCTGTTCTCAATGGATAAAGGTATAAATTTAGAAATACTGGCATAACTCAGATACTGCAGATTTGGTTCTAGAACACCACAATAGTGAGTCAAATGAATTTTTTGGTTTCCCAGTGCATGCAGAGTTTATTCTATACTGTAGTCTATTACATTTGCAATACCATTGTATCTAAAAAAAAAAAAAAATCAGCGTATATACCTTAAAAATACTTTTGCTAAAAAATGCTATCGTCTGAGCTTTCAGTGAGTCATGATCAGTGGTCATAGATCACTGTAACAAATATAATGATAATGAAAAAGTTTAAAATACTGCAAGAATTACCAAAATGTGACAGAGACACAAAGTAAGCAAAACTGTTGAAAAAATGGCACTGGTAGACTTGCTCAACACAGGATTGCCACCACAAACCTTCACTTGATTAAAAACACAGCGATAATGAAGCACAATAAAATGAAGTATACCTATACTAGGATATTTGATGTGAAGTAAAAATTGCAAAGTGCAAACAATGTCACAATTAAAATTTTTTATTTGTACTATCTTTTGAGTCACCCTCTCCACCCCCCAGTTTATCTCTAGATAAAATAAAATGAAAAAGCAACCTTACTTAGTTCCAAAGAACTTCGTAAGTTTGTTAAAGTAGTTGACTTACTGTTTTCATTTATTGGTGTTAGCACCTAAGGGCAAAGTGATGGGGAATGTTGAGTTTAGGAATGAAAGATGCCAAGTACTTCTGCTAGGTTTGGAAGTTCCTTTATATTTGGAGTTCACTAGGTGGCGGTGTGTCACCTAAGAATGTCTTGATGTGTTAGCTGAATTGCAGTTTCTGCCCAGATTGAATCTAGTTACTACAGGCTCAGTTTTGCAGGCTTTCCTGAGTTGTGTGTTTCCTTTACTATGGCTGTACCTGTCTGTAGTCTTTCAGCACAGGCCTGCCTAAGTGTCTCTGTATAAATCAATGCTATTGACATGCATGTAGCAGGGATTAATATGTAAAATCCTAGTCTGAGAAGGAAGTATTTAGAGAATATTAATTTTTGAAATATGAAATAGAAAATGTGTTAAACTTTTCAGTTTTGGTAGTTTCTCTTTAGTGAATTACGCATGACTGTGTGTCTGTTCTTCTTTAAAGGCTATGGAAAGGGCAAATGGAATGGAGCTAGATGGTAGAAGAATTCGTGTGGATTATTCTATCACCAAGAGAGCACATACACCTACACCGGGCATCTACATGGGCAGACCGACTCAGTAAGATTTCAGATTTCCTAAGCAAAACTGCAAGAGCCAGAAATCCATCAGAAATGTGTGCAAAACTTTGATTAACCAAGAGATAAAATTATTTTTCCTGTAATTAGAATTGAAAGTTATTTAATTTGTATGTGTTCTTTGAATCATTTAGTCTCTATTTTTTTATTTATATTTGAGCAGGGGGACAAATTAAAACTATTGAAATACATTCCTGGATATTTTGATACTGTACAAATAGAAAAATTATTAAATAGTAGAAAATTTCCAAATGCTTCTAAATACTCTCTGGTATGAACTTGGAAGCCTCTGTGTATAAGGAAGAGTTTAAGTCACTTTCTATATATGTAGAACATAAATGAGGCTCTTAAAATGTTTTTTAATATAACACAACCACAAAGACATTATATTTCTTAAATGTGGAAGAAGAAATGTAGACTTTGATTTATTTTGAAACCTTACTGGGGGAAAATGGTAGAATTTGCTCAGGACAGCCTGTAGAAAACTAAAGTGAATAGTGTCCCTGTGATGATGAGGTTGGGAAGACAGCAGTAAAAAGGGCTTTAAATTCACTGCCAAAGGTTTAAACAGGAGACCTTGAAATTGAGTGCTGGACCTCAGTGTGAAGTAGTTAATTCTCTCTGGTGTTCAGTTTATTTTTTAATTCTTGATGATTAATAGTTACTTCTGAATCAGTCCTAAGGATACAAATCTTTGCGTTTTGGTACTGTATCCCATCATAGTGCTTCATTTCACCTTGTTGAAAAGGTCCTACTGGTTTGGGCAGTGCATTAATAGAATAGCAGTTACAGTGTGGAGTTCTATGGCCTGATTATTTATATAACAGGAAAGCAAAGCAGAATACCATGGGATTCAGCAGAGTGAGACAGAGGTGATTGGCATGAATGGGTTATTCTTTCTCCTTTATCTCTCTTCCTTCCTCCTTTTTATTTAAGTACAAAGTTGTATTAATACTGAAAAATAATCACACAGTGATGTGAAATCTTTACATTTTTCTGTAGTAGTGGCGGTGGCGGTGGTGGAGGCGGCGGTGGTGGTGGTGGAGGTGGCAGACGTCGAGATTCTTACTATGATAGAGGATATGATCGTGGATATGACAGATATGAAGACTATGATTACCGATACAGGTAGTGTTTTAATTTGTGATTTCTGTTCTAAATTTGATGGTGGTAGTAGTATTTTGCACTTTAAATTTATGTTGGTAAGTATTAGTAAAAATATTTAAAGTAGATTTTATATTCTTGAAAAAGTAGGAAAAATATTTTTCTCAAGATGAAGGACAGGCATTAATTATCTGTATTTTGTGCCATATGCTTACTCTTCTTGTATCATTGGCACACAGGGAACTTGGTTATTATTTTGGGTCCATTGTTATTTTGAATGACGTGGAATATTTATTTTCATCTGCCTTGGTGAAGTGTTTTTGTGGTATGCTATAAGTAATCTTTTATTTCCCATAGAAGAAGATCGCCTTCTCCTTACTATAGTCGATACAGATCAAGATCAAGATCTCGATCCTACAGTCCAAGTATGTACACTTTTCCTTTTGTAGCATTAACAACCTTGTTTCTTGTTGATTTATTTAAGATAATTAGGGTATATGGTGATTGTTCATAGATGGAAAAACAATGTCTTTTTAGTTTTAGCAAGTCAAAGTATAACTTTTTTTGCTCTTTTTCTTTCAGGGCGCTATTGATAAACAGAATGGTTGCAGTTGAGGACATCTTTTTCTTTTCTTTTTCTTTTTTTTTTTTTTTTAATTCTGAATTTCCTGAAGTTTCTAATCCTTCCTACCCCTTAAAAATATCTTTGGTTTATTTAACATCTACACTTTGACAGTTGTGTTGCTGGTTTCCACCCCTTTTATTATACTCTTGAAGATGTAATTGTCATTTTGAGTGGATAAACATCTTGAGTAAAAAAGGAACCCCCAGTGTTATGCTTTGTAAATGATTTTTCTTTGCTTTTACAGAAAATTAATTCCTGGCTAATCAAAGGAAAGAAATGATCTTATTGAAGCTTCTTTTATGTTAGATATTGTATTAGGCATTATATTAGAGATCTGCATTTATTATGAACTTTCTAAGCTTTTGGGAAAGAAAGGAACACAAAGTAGTGCAGTTGTGTCAAGTTTGTCTGGGGTGGCATGGAGCAGTCAAATAGTTGGGTGTAGAAAGTTTGAAGCTAGAGAAGAAAACACTTGGTTGTTTCTTTTGAATGGAATTTTTGAACTCTAAAAATTACATCTTTTTTTAAGAGATGAAACCTTGTAGATTTCTACAGAACATGTTGTATTTAAAATACATCTGTTAAAACTTTCAAACTTAAAAGTGTGATTTTTGTGTTGAATTTATTGAAGTTTAAGTATTCCCTTAATCAGTGAAAGACAACCCTTATTATTTATTACTTAAGCAGTTGTATAGTTCGCTGTTAGACATTTTGGCATTGGGACAATGGTTAAGCAGGCTATTGTATAGAGTCCTTGGAAGATAAGTGTGGGGCAAGTAGTATCCTTCCAAATAAAAGTTAATTTCTCTGAAAATAAGATTGTCTCTTTATTGTGGTACAGTGGGAAAATATAACCGGCTTGATGTGGGAATCAATTCTTTTTCCTAAATATAAAAGATTTTTTGCTTATACCTAAATGTATGGTCTTTCTCTCTTCTCTCTTAAAAATCCTTATTTTTCTTCCCTTCTCTTTTTTGTTGACCAGTTTGTAAATATTGAGAGTAAACCATCAAAAGTGGTGCCTTGGTGTACTGTGCTGAAGGAAACATGAATAATATGATTCATGTCTTCAAGAAGCCCAGGTTCTAGTAGGAAACATACTTAAATGACTTTATAAAATGTTAAGAGGTAGGGGCCTTGTAGCGAAGAGGTGGGTGATAGATATTTCGGGTAACTTCTATAGAAAGGTATATAGAAGCATAAATTCTTTGTTGTCTCTCTCCAAATAGTGGAAATAAAATTAGGTTGTTGTGATTAGATTATTAGATTGGGTTATCTATTAGATTATTATGGGTTGGAGGTGACTCAGACATCTTTATTTAAAAGCTAACTTTTCAAAATGCCTGCCTTTAAAATTTTTTTTGTGTTTTTTTTTTTTGCCAATTAAAGATATACAGCGAACAAAGCAATCTCTTGTTGGTCCCAGAGGGATTTTGTTCTATAACCCAAGTTGTTAAGAGATGAATCATTGCGCTAAAGAGAACAATCTGTTGACAGTAGGAGTACCCTAAAGATCTAAGCAGTATATCAACAAAAGTGAAAACAGCCACACTCTGGAAGAGAATACCCATATGAAGAGACAATAAACATAATCAAGAGGCAGATTGTTTTATAGGATATGGCTGTCAAAAGTAGTGGGAGCATGGGTGTAATGCATGGGTAGATACCGCTTAAAGACTAGCTGTGTTAGATTAAACAAATCAGCAACATAGAAATAAATGCTTAGGTACTTCTGGGTCTCTTCACTTCTGTTTCCTATAGTGTTAGAGTGAATCTTAATTTTTTTCAACTAACTGAAGGGTAAAAAAACCTTGTTCCTTTTGATTCAGACTCCTTAAAACAGTGGTAACTACTTAATCATATTTGGATAATGAAATCCATAAAAATCTGGGGGGAAAATAAACCCTACCATCTGTTTTCCTAGGAAAAGTTCACATATAAAACAATTTTGTATACACTACGTTTAAGTTATTTTTTGCAGAGAGTAAGATGTATAAGAATATATACTGGCTTCCTAATAGTAGTTAGTTATTCTGTGACCTAGTAGTCTGGAGAGAAAATTTGGGAGGAATTTGCAGGAAACCAATGGAAAATTTCTATAAATTCTGGTGCATTATGCATACTTATGATTAAAGTTCCCATTATATATAGACATTGCCCATGAATTGAAGAAGAATATCTTTCGTTGCTCCTTGTTTTGGATATGATTCTTTAGAATATTTGAGTTTCATAGAATCTTGAGAACTATGAAGCACAAATAGGTATTGCTTCATTATAGTAATTAAAAGTCTATTATATATAACATAAAACAAAGGTTTATTCAAAATATGCCCACCCTGAAGTCAAACTCAATATTTTGGGTGGATGAATTTTCTTTTTCCACTCAACTAATTTCGAATTAAGTGAATCAAATGGTCAATTTCAAAATTTTGTGTAATACACATTAAAAGGTAAGGTGAGAAATAAACCATCCATGGGGAGTAGTGAACATAAAAAAAAAGAAAGATCTAAGTAACTTCCAAGAAAAATACTCTACTCAAATAACAGGCTTTGCCAATTTAAGCTCCCACCAACAGGGTATGAGAAGGAGGTCTTTTCTTGAAACAAAAGGTGTTGACATTTTACTAAAGGAAAATAAGCTTCTAAACTCTGAATTATTTACAACACAAAATTATTTCAAAGTGGAACTAAGGTAATGTTTCAGAAAATAATGGGGGGATAAACTAATGTGATGACACATGCTGCCACACATGACAATGAATATTTTGTAATGTATATAATTGTACGCCTGAAACTAATACTGTGTGTCATTTACAATTGAACATTTTTAAGTACTTAGAAAAAAGGTTAACATGCTCATGGAGGTATACAAAAATATTCAAGAACTCAGGAATGAATTCTGGTCGGAGATCCAATCATTACAGAACACAGTATCAGAAATGAAACGTAAAATGGAAGGTTTTAAAAAGCAGATTAGATATGGTGGAGGAGATGATAAATGAAATATAATCTAGAGAAAAGGAATACAAAGAAGCTGAGGCACAGAGAGAAAAAAGGATCTCTAAAAATAAAAGAATATTGAGAGAACTGTGTGACCAATCCAAATGGGGCAATATTTGCATTATAGGGGTACCACAAGAAGAAGAGAGAGAGAGAAAGGGAAGAAAGTGTCTTTGAGGAAGTAATTGCTGAAAACTTCCCCAAGCTGGGAAAGGAGATAGTCTCTCAGGCCATGGAGGTACACAGATCTCTCAACACAAGGGACCCAAGGAAGACAACTCCAAGACATACAGTTATTAAAATGGCAAAGATCAAGGATAGGGACAGTATTAAGAGCAGCCAGAGAAAGATCACACACAAAGGAAAGCCCATCAGGCTATCATTAGACTTCTCAGCAGAAACCTTACAGGCGAGAAGGGAGTGGCATGATGTATTTAATGCAATGAAGCATAAGGGCCTCAAACCAAGAATACTTTATACAGCAAGATTATTTAAATTTGGAGGGATTAAGCAATTTATAGATAAGCAAATGCTGAGAGAATTTACCTCCCACAAACTCCCTACAGTGCATTTTGGACGGACAGCTAAAGATGAAAGTGTTCCTAAGGTTTAATAGCTGTCACCAGAGGTAATAAAACCACAGTAAAGAAACTGGAAGTTAATTACTAAGCAAATGAATTAAATCAACTACCCTCAAAGTCAATCAAGGGACAGACAGAATACAGACTACGATACCTAATATATAAAGAATGGAGGAAGAAGAAAAAGGAGTAGAAAGAACCTTTAGGTTGTGTTTGTAATATGACACTAAGTGAGTTGAGTTAGACTCTTAGATACCAAAGAAGTTAACCTTGAACCTTTGGTAATCATGAATCTAAAGCCTACAATGGTAATAGGTACATACCTATCGATAATCATCCTAAATGTAAATGATCTGAATGCACCAATCAAAAGATAGAGTCACTGAATGGATAAAAAACCGTGACCCATCTTTATGCTGCCTACAAGAGACTCACTTTAAACCCAAAACATACACAGACTAAAAGTGAAGGGATGGAAAAAGATACTTAATGCAACTAATATATAAAAGCAGGAGTTACAGTACTTGTATCAGACAAAATAGACTTCAAAACAAAGTCACAAGAGACAAGGACATTACATAATGATAAAGGGGTAAAATCAACAAGAAGATATAACCATTATAAATATCTATGGCCCAACAGAGGACCACCTACATATGTGAAACAAATACTAACAGAATTAAAAGGGGAAATAGGCTGCAGTGCATTCATTCTAGGACACTTCAACACTCCACTCATTCCAAAGGGCAGATCAACCAGACAAAGAAAATAAGTAAGGAGACAGAGGCACTGAACAACACATTAGAACAGATGGACCTAACAGACATCCACAGAACTCTACACCCAAAAACAGCAGAATACACATTCTTCTCAAGTCACATGAAACATTTTCAAGAAGAGATTATATAGTAGGCCACAAAAAAAAAAAAAAGCCTTGGTAAATTCAAAAGATTGAAATGGTACCAAGTAGTTTCTCAGACTACAAAGGTATGAAACTAGAAATAAATTGTGCAAAGAAAATGAGAAAGCCCACAAACACAAAGGCCTCACAACATGCTCCTAAATAACCAATGGATTAATGACCAAATAAAAACAGATCAAGCAATATATGGAGACAAATGACAACAAATAATTCAACACTGCAAAATCTGTGGGACACAGCGAAGGTTGTGCTAAGAGGAAAGTATATTGCAACACAGGCCTACCTCAGGAAAGAAGAACAATCCCATATGAACAGTCTAAACTCACAATTAATGGAACTAGAAAAACAAATGAGTCCCAAAGTCAGTAGGAGAATGGACATAATAAAGGCTAGAGTAGAAATAAATAAAATCAAGAATAAAACAATAGAAACAACAAAAGCAGGAGCTGGTTCACTGAGAAAATTAACAAAATAGATAAACCCCTAGCCAGACTTATCAAGAAGAAAAGAGTCTACACACATGAACAGAATCAGTAATGAGAAAGGAAAAATCACTACAGACACCACAGAAATACAAAGAATTATTAGAGAATACTATGAAAAATTATATGCTAACAAACTGGATAACCTAGAAGAAATGGACAGCTTTCCAGAAAAATACAACCTTCCAAGACTGACCCAGGAAGAAACAGAAAATCTAAACAGACCAATTACCAGCAATGAAATTGAATTGGTAATCAAAAAACTACGTAAGAACAAAACACCTGGAATAGATGGGTTCACCCTGAATTCTATGAAACATTTAGTGAAGACCTAATATGCATCCTCCTTAAAGTTTTCCAAAAAGTAGAAGAGGGAATACTTCCAAACTCATTCTACAAGGCCAGCATCACTCTAATACCAAAACCAGGCAAAGACACCACACAAAAAGAAAATTACAGACCAATATCCCTCATAGATGCAAAAATACTCAATAAAATATTAGCAAACTGAATTCAAAAATACACCAAAAAGATCATCCATCATGATCAAATAGGATTTATTCCAGGGATGCAAGGATGGTACAACACTCGAAAATCCATCATCATCCACCACATCAACAAAAAGGACAAAACCCACATGATCATCTCCATAGATGCTGAAAAAGCATTCGACAAAATTCAACATCCATTGATGATGAAAACTCTCAGCAAAATGGGTATAGAGGACAAGTACATCAACATAATAAAGGCCATATATAACAAACCCACAGCCAACATTATACTTAACTGCGAGAAGTTGGAAGCTTTTCCTTTAAGATGGGGAACAAGACAA